TTTGTTTTCACAATCCACGGACATCATGCAAATTTAATAATAAACAACAGCAACAACCACATAATAGCAAAAAAGGAACAAAAACTTTTCAATAAAAATTCCACATGGCGTAGAGCGACGCAAGAGCGCATGGATAAAAACAAAAAGCGAAAAACCCGAAAAAGGTCAAACAAAACTAAAATGACAGATAGGAGCACATCACTCAGACTCTAACAGGCACGCACTTGCACGTACAGGAAATAAAAATATGTAAATAATGGCAACAGCATCGAAAGGATATTCATACGTACTCAGCTCTAGCCGCGTGCTTATATATAGTTTTTTATCAAACAGAATTTATTGCAAAATTGAAAAATTCATGAAATTCATTCATTCATTTTATTTTGTTGCTTTTTAGTTAGTATCCGTTATTCGTATTAAACAACAGCAACTTTGTACTAAAAATGTTGCAAAACGGGCCGAAATGTTGAAAACATTGGTTCAATATTATTCGCATAATCGTTTAACTTGTTAATAATGGCCATTACGAAGTCGCTTCACTTTAAAGCTGATAGAAATTGGTGATTGAATAACGTACCCGTTTTTAAACTTGCTTCTTAGTTTATTTGAATACAGAAAGCTTACTGCGGTCTTCAACTAGAAATATTCAAATTCAAACAAAGTTAATTATAGTCTCTCAGGTAAGCAAAGGTTATGAACCGCATTTCTCCGAACTCAATGTCAATTCAATTATTGTATATTGACTTATCCCATGCAATGCATCGAAACATCAAAATCTGTAAGGTTTCCATATATCACATACATATGCATATACGTACGCTATGAGTAAAAATATGAGTAACAAGTAAGTAACATCAAAGTAATGTACTTTCAGGCGAAATCTTTAATAACCAACTCAAAGCTCGAATCAAAACAAAACATATTGAAAAAAGGGTAGTTAACTACACGACTGCCAGTTTGGCGAAGGTTTCAAAGTATTTGACGTGCTTTCATTTTGACGTTCGCGTTTGCATGTTTTTTCCCTTACGTTTCAAAATATAATTAAACTTTTTATTTGTAACGGATCACGACGAGTACTTTTTCAATATGTCAGCACGAATTTCAGCTTTTCCGCGATGCACGAATTTTTATATGTTTGACATGTATACGAGCGAAGAAGCAACTACGTCCCGTCATGCATTTGGCTATGGACTTGTGCATAGGAGCAACCACATACCTTCTACACTGGACGATCCTATACTCCACGGCGCTCTTCTTTTGTTTTCAAAATTGTGATTGTTTACTAAAAGGCAAAACACCCCTCCTTTCCTTTTAAAAATTAAAATTTTAGTTTGAGAAAAAAACTCAAGCCACTTTGCTTCTTAGCGTGAATTTCCTTTTGTCTCTTCCTACAAGTAATCAAAAATCAATAAATTATAAACAACATTTTATTAGTCTAAGTGAAACAAGTGCTTTGATCCAAAAGCTTTTGCTACTGTTTTCAAAATGTTTCATTGCACAATTTGTTTCATTCAGCTTAAAAAGCAAAGAAATTTTGTTATTATAATGTCATCAGGACTTGCTAATGAAATCTTTGTAGTAAGAAAATGAAAAATTAAAAGATAATTGAAAGGAGGTTCGTTTCGGTCTCATATACCCTGTGGTACCCGTAAGATAAAGCTTTCCTGCCTTAATGAAAAACGAAGATCTTCTTGGGAGACATGCGTTTCCGTGGGCAACGAATTAGTGTTTTGTTGTAGACGGTAAAGTTCTCTCCTTTCTCTCTTTTATGTTACATAAAATATATGTTCTCGGATACGGATTTTATTCATTGCAGAAAGTAGTCAATAAGATCATAAACGACAATGCGATATAGATGAAAAAAAGACGGGTTTCAAGTATCAGTGGGATTTACGTGTCCGGGAAGCTCAGAGGGGTTTAGTGTTTTCACTCAAGTTTAAAATCTCTGTTGACGTGACCACAGTATTGTGCGAGTTTGCCTATCCACCGTCGGAGTTCTCACGAATAGAAATGATAAGTAAGTACATAAAGTGTTGCGATTTCTACTAAGGTTCAAGCTTTTGTAGAAATTATCGCCACCGTTTGTATAGAACAAAGTTATAGGTACATTATATACACCTTTGATATCCTGAGAGGTCACAGCCATGTTTGGGTCTCCTCCCAATTTCTTATTTTTATCCACACACAAACATACATTCACATGTATAGTAATTAATTATTCGGAGGTATTGCAAAGAAAAGTGTGACTACAATTTCTCCAATTGGTAAGAAAACATGTCGGTCTAAAAGAGAAATTTATTATGTAACATATAAGTTTCTGAGAAGAAGTGATTATTCGACTTGTGCGCTGGACTTGGAAGATGGGTAAGTAAAGTCCGTCATAAAATATTCCACTTCTCTCTCTCTCTCTCTCATTCCATAGGAGTTTAGTGGCTTATGATTTAAATTTACATTTTCCTAACGTTAGCAAGACATGCAAAACGCTCTTTAAAGTTTTCTCAGAATAAATAAGTGCTTAAAAAAAGCAAATTATGAGGTTTACGCGAGGACGTCGTCAAAGGAAGGAAACATTTCACTCTTGATGTGGAGGTCATTTAAGGGCCCCTTTCAGTCAGAGGTCTAGCTAAAGAGGTCATTTTATCGTAACGATTACAAAATATTAATATGTTTGTGTTTTATTTTCAAGCCAATTAATACGGTAATAAAGTCTCTATTTCACTGGGAAGAAGAACGAACGTATTGTAGTTTATGGCCACTTGATTCGCTTAAACTTTTTTCTCATGTTTTTAACAACCCTGTTGTACTTGTATCCCACATTAGTTGTTGTATACTGTGGGTTTGCTTTAATTACTTTTGAATAGAGTTTTAACGTTTTATTAAGTCTTACACACCAACATGCAACCATACGCAATCATTGTAAATACAGCTGTTGTTGCAATTTGTTTTCCTTAGCATTTCGCTCCTTTCCTTTCCTTCCATTCTTATATATAAGTTTTATTATTTTGCAACTCCCAATGTCATTTTCGTTTTGTGGTTTATTTTAAACATGCATATGTGCATGTGTGCATGTGTGTGTGTGGACGTGTGCGGAACGCGAATGATTGTATATATGAATATGGATGAACACCAATATTTGTAGTTTGACTTGAGACCGCAAAGCGCAATCAGCGAAGTGGTTTAATGGCTTGAAACGGAAGCGTAGTAAAAATGGTTACAATGAACATTAAAGAATAAGATTGAAAAGCGGTAGCGTCTTTGACCGCGTCAGATCAAAATTTTGTTAATTGTTGGTACGTTAGAGCTGGCCCCTTAGAACACGATGATTACGATGCGTCCACCTTATTGATAATTAATTCACTATAATATATATATACATATATATATATATATATATATATATATATATATTTATACATATGCTGCATGCGATTAAATACGAATGTCAGCTTTATTTCAATGCGGAGTGATTTTGATGAAGGTTTCGTATCTTTTTGAGGGCGCAGTTGCTTTTCTTTTCTTAGTTCGCATATTCAGTTGAAATAATTAGTATTGAAGATTAAGGCCTAAATAGTCTTAAAATTTAAAGAAAAATTAAAGAGGATTACGACACGTGTGTACACAAAAACGCATAAGAGAGGAAAAACAGAAAGGAAAGGACAAAAGGACGCTCACTGCTGATTGATATTCATTACCTAGGAGTGTAACACATTTTCCACTAGGTACCAATGTAAACATGCCAAAGCTTGACAAACATGTAGCAACATTATTCAGTATAATGGCTCATCGTAACGCGTCCTTCAAAATTATAATTTTGGCTTAAGTACGACAGTAGAAAGATGCGGATATTAATTGGAATAGTTTTAATGAAGCGTAACAGATAAAGATCACTTTACAAGATTGCGCAGGTTATATATATATATATGGCTCTCATTTTTTGTTATTATTGGATTTGGGAGACGAATACAGGCGTTTGCAAAGTGGATCCATGGAAACAAGCTTGCTATCGTCCACATACTTTTTTCCGGGCTGTGGCAGACAGATAGACGAGCATGGCGTAGCTATGATCTTGTACACTGATCATACATATTACAATTTATAATTGCATTACTTGCTCATGCAAATTATCTCCCGAATAATAAAACTAGTCCATCTGCAAACTTTAATAATTTCTGCCGCCTTGAGCAACCTACTCTTACTATCTCCCACCTGAAAATATTGCTTTGATTACAATTTAAATAAATAAACAAATAAATAAATGTATGCATTATGTAATAAAAATAAAATAAAAACTAGTGCATGTGTTATATAAAAAAAAAACCGAAATTCAAAAGTTTTTAATATTGTATCGGTGGTTGTTTGTATTACATACAACCTATGTTCTCAAGCAAAGAAAATACGCATACGCAGGGATGTACGGTAGAGAAAATTCTCAATTTCTGCGCTTACGGGACGTCACAATTTCTTTCTCCTTAATATCAAAGTTCTTTCGTTTGCCGTTAATTCAATTTTTATATAAAATTAATTATCGCAAAGCTGGAAAATGAATTTTCAACTCCAGGTGACCCCGTTTAACCACAACTATTGCTTCGAATATATATAAGAATGAAAAGTTTTTACCATATTTTCAATCATAATCTTCCTCTTCGTCTTCGTCTTTTTTTTTGTTGCTTTTTCTCAGTGAAGAATTTTTTTTTTTGAAATTTTTAAAAACGCTTTAGAAACTTGTAAACCAACAAAAAGCCCCCGAACCCAAACTGCCATGTCAACAACAAAAGGTATTGATGTCGCATGTCACCTGCAGTTTATTAAATGTGGTTTCTTTACCTTTTAAAACCATTTTGTTTGTTTTTTTCTTTTTATTAATATAATGAAAATTTGAGCAGGAGTTTGTAATAAATTCGAAAAACCGCATAAAAGCAATTAAAGTTTCTTTTTATGCAATAAACTTTAATAGAAAAACAGAAAAGTAAAAAAATTTTTTTCGTCTTCTCTTTTTACAGATATTCTGAGGCTTAAACATCAATTCAGGTAAGTTTCGCTTTGTAAAATAATCGTTAAAAATACCATAGGATGTATACGAGCATACGAGCCCTGTCTCAAAATCTCTTTAATTTATTTTTTCATTCAACGAATCTTTGCATGCTAGTGATACGTTCCGGGGAATGTAACTGAAAATATCGACGGTGTTTGTTAACAAGACATGAGATCTCAATTACCGTACTAGACTTAAAGATTAATACATTTTTCTTATTGGGGGAAAGCATAGAGGCCCACACGGTCGCAATATCAGCACAAATTTGGACGGACTTTATTGTCACGTGGTGGTCTTTGAAAAAGTTTAGATATCTTTCGAAATTCAGCTTAACAATCTTCAATGGTTTGTTAAAATTACTCTTTGATATCCGTTCCGTTCAATAAAGTGTTTTGCGCCCATCGATTGGGAGCGTATATCGTCTACTTTTTGCGGGAAAAAAACAAAGAAGGATGACCGATCTTGAGCGTGTCTATAAAATGGTAAGAAAAGAAAGTAATTTAGCAAAATATGCTTTAAATCGTTGTCCACTGTACGAGGATGCTTGTATATGTATATAGAAAAACTAAAGAAATAAAAATCTCTCGTTTTTATTTTTTATGATTTCACGAGTAAATATGCCACTAATTGAAAATTGAGTAAAAGAGTAGAAAAGACGATTTTATTTATTTATTTTTTTTTTTTTAAATACTTGACTCAATCAAACGGAAGGAGTACGTAGCAAAAAAATTCTTAGGTATTACTTTGCGTTTAAGAGGATTTAGTTATCAGCATTTTTAACAGGAAGACGACACATAACATATTGCAGGACAACTGTCATTAGTCTGTGGAAAAAAAGAAAACGAAACAGAAGTCGTCCTTTTTTACTTATTAGACCGCATTAGGAAACCGAAAGACATCAAGCGAAAGACTTTCTAAAGGTTACCAAGAAAGGATAATACTGGAATCGTAAAAAAAAAAATCATTTCTTCATGTTTTGTTTGTTCACGTGTAAAGCGGAATACGCACACAGGACAGCATTGACAAAAGGAAAAAATTAACTACGCATAGTTCAGGTCTAACAAATATTAAGTTCATCTATTAATGTTGCGCAATATTTTATTTTTTGCTTGATTTTTTTTTTTTTTTTTTTCATATAATCCATTAAACATTGCCATCTGTCATCTTACAGACAACGTTCTTAGTTACTTATGTTGTAGCATCTTAAAGCAGAAGCCACCATAATCAGAATTCCTACGTGACAAAATAGAGGGGACGGGGTTTTAAGATTATTAATGACGTCTTTACAGAGATAAATGATTTACGCAAAATTTCATTCGCGCATATTTAATGAATTTATTCGTGTCGCTCACAATTTTCTCTTGAGTGCGTCTTGCACGACAGCTAAGCATTTTACTGCTTTAATGCTCTTTTTGTTCTGCTAACCGCATTGCACGGTCACTGCCAATTGCTCATTTATGTTATTGTGAACATAAATATGTATTTTTTTTTACACCCGTTTATTATCTGTAAAAGTATTAGCGTATTAAAGCTTGTGCAAGGGCAGCTAAGGATGAACGAAAAGAGAGAAGAGAATGAAAGCATATTCTTGTCTTAAACATTACCATACGAGGCATACGAGGCCTGTTCTAAAAATTCTTTTGAACGAAAAGAGAGAAGAGAATGAAAGCATATTCTTATCTTAAACATTACCATACGAGGCATACGAGGCCTGATCTAAAAATTCTTTTAGTACTTCGCAATTTTCGTGGCTGCAACTGTGACATCTCACAATTGCTTTTCCAAAATTTTTCCTCTTTTGTTTTAAATAATCAAAGTGATCTTAAATTTTTTTTTCCCAGCGCTTTCGAATGTTTGCTCGCTTTGTTTTTATTTATTCAAGATTAGCAAGTGGTTGTCTGTTCTTTTCGTCTTATTCTATGACAGGCAGTGGAATGGGACTAACAACTTTGGTCGGAATTCTGCAATTTCAAGTGAATGTCACTATTCAACGCTTCATATGAAAAATTCTGCAAAAATATCATCAAGAAATTGTTCTTTTATTCTCTTTTTCACGTCTACAGCTTTGTCTGCATTTGTGGAGGTTGTTCACCAAATTTTTTTTAAATGCTTGCAGCACTTGCAAATAGGAACGAGATAACATTTTTTATTCATTGTCACCGTCTATTAGGAAGCCAAAGAAAAGAATATTTGAAAAGGAGTCTCAACGGTCCGCTGGGTATTGAAAGAGTCCATCAATTTCTTTAACATCCTTGATATTTTCATATTTTTGCACGAATAAGCTTTTGCAAGTGTAGTCAGCATTTTCCGTCGACACATACTTTCTACGTTCCGCTCACGCTAATCGTTCGAGTGAAGGCACCAGTAAGGAAATTCCTTCTAATAGAGAATGTGAAACGTGTTAATATTATCGCATGTTATCTCATTAAAGTACTAACAGGGAGAGTCGTAGCGATGTGAAGTACTTCAAGGTTAAAATGTTAGGCGAATATTGGCGGTCAAGTGTGTGGTATGTACTCGACATATATGTTGCACAGAATATTATCCAGTCGATGAAGGAATCGAATTATTCTAAACAGAAGGTTGCAATAAAAGGCGAGTTTAATAAAAAATCCTGTTTTCTGATTTGGCTTTACGAATAAATGCCATATATCCTCTGTGTAATAGCAGTAGTTAATAAAGAGTTATTTTTAATGTTTAAAATCATAAAAAATGTTTTTTGTATTTATTGCAATAAATTTATTTGCATAAATATTTTATTTTTCTTAAATATTTTATTTCCGTATGTAAACACCAGGTATTACAATTTATATCTAAAGTATCGTAGAAATTATGTGAATATATTTTCACAGATTTTAAATTGATGCACGTATCTATCTGCAAGTAAATATCAAAGGGAAGAGGTGCTGCTTGACTCGATCCTGTAGCAAATGCAATAACAAAAAACATAACAAAATTCATAGCGTTTCTATGCAACTTAACACAATATATACTCCTGAGTGTTGTTGTATCTAAAAACGTAAAAAAAAAAAAAAAAAAAAAAAAAATATTTACATTCTTGTGTTTTGAGATTTACCGCATTCACACCTTGGTAAATGAGGTTTCTGGTTTCATGTTGTGTTTTTGATTTTCACTTTCGTATACCCACACACTCGCACACACACGCTCACAAACAATTCAGGATTTGAAACTGTTCTTACATGGCGCTGGGCTGGGAATCGGGAGAATTAAAGGTTATTGTGTTTCATTTTCTAAATACACATTTATTATTTTGATCTGCTTTCATAATGAGCGGTGTGGTGTATGCATGCAGATGCATCTACACCTATTTCAAATATTTAAAATTTTAGAAATTTTCTTTCTGCAGTTTTCTCTAAAGAGAACCCTACTAGCATCTGTGTTCGAACGAAGAGATCATCGTTCATTCCTTTACTACCTAAGCGCACGGTTGCTAAAAGCGATTGGTGCTTTTGGCTTCTTAGTTAAATCACTTTTAGGGAAGCACCCAAAGACCCAAGAGAGGAATTGGCAATTAATAAACGACAGGGTTGTTATTAAGGAGAAATGTGACAGCTTACAGTTTGTGTGCTTCCCCGAACTGTCCTATTTTACTTAGAATTTACACCCATTTCGTGATTCAAGTCATTTCAAGTCGCTATTATAGTACGAAAAAGGCGAAGCACAGACATCTCGCGAGTAAGCTCTTTCCCCATAGGAATTATCCAAAATTGCTTCATATACAAAATGTGTTGCAGAGGAAATGTTTTCCTTGTAATGTACTGAGAACTTCTCATCTGAAAAATGTATACCTCTCCCTTGTAGAAGCAGATAGGGATCATTAAAATTCATCCTTGGATTGTCAAATAATGGGGTTTAAAGTGACCACAGCATTGTCAAGTCGTCATAAAACCACCATAAGGTTGTATTGAGTTTTACTGCATCCCGTATAAAACTTCAACAGAAACATTGTTTGTGATGGTGAATGCTTATCCTCCATCCGTATTGTCTAGATTTAATTTGATTAGAACAAAGTCAAGGCCCATACCGCGGGCCTTGCACGATATTCTGCAAAATTCGAATCACTTATGTGGTAAACTTCTTCTTTTTCTTTTCATTATAATATACCTATAAATTTCAAAAAAAAAAAAAAAAAAAAAAAAAAAAAAACAGAAAACGTTTAACGAATTTGAGTTATTATTTTTTTGTGTTTGCGGAATTGTGTGCGACGTGCGCAAAATGAACATCGTGTTGTCACAACAATTCAATCATAAAAATTGCCAGTTATAAACCAATAAAAAACTGATAAAAAATAAATAAACAAAATGAAAAATACATTGTAAACAAACGAAACTTCCCGCAGGTTTCTCTCTGTGGATTATTTATATTTAAGCCTTTTAAGCCTCATGAAAAATGTAGGGTGTACACGGCAGCCAAAGCTTTCCGCATATGACGACACACACAATGATATGTTTTTTTTTTGTTTTTTTTTTTTTTTAATTACATTTTGTAAACGTTTTTACGATAAAAAAGGGTCGTGGATGCGAACGGAGTGGAGATTAGGTGTTTCGCAGACATTTGCAAAACGCATAAAGCTATCCAAACCGGAATTTTTTATTAATGAAAGATAAGTAATTTTTATGGAATATTTTTATTTATATGTAACCAAATACTCTGGGGAAGAATTGGGGAGAGAGGGCGATAGGATATAGCCGCAGACTAGGGAGTATGCATCCGATCGAGCACTCACTACAGTTAATACCTTACACTAGACATAATTGAACTAGAGGATCTGCTGGACAGCCGTGCTTCTTAACTACTTGGATTTTTTGTTTGCGGAAACCATAGGACGTATTATCGTCGTATTTGAAGGTCAATAGCTTATATTCGCATATAGGGGTAGGAACGACGTTGCCGATCCCAAAGCTTATAGACATCAGTGCTATTAATAGAAAAATTTTATTTTCTGAAAAGTGTTGAACACACAACATAATTAACGGAATTTCCGTACGAACGGGGATCTTTTTCGTCCTTGACCTAATATTATATAAATTTTTTATTTAAGAAACGAAACCGTCCATCTGTTACCTATCTTTACCTACGCTCACAGTTTCAATCTTTCCGTAACGATAAAGTCGGCCTAGACGACCTAGCGCGTATAATAATAGAATACAACTTTGACTCTTTACTTGGTGTTCATTTTGTGATCGATGGTAATGGTTAAAATGACACTGTGCTGCGTGTATGCATACGTAGCTCCATAAATTACATGTCAACACGAAATTCGTAATAAATATAAACAATAAATTCCAAAAATACATAAACATTTTTATAAATATGTAAATATTTGCCCACATTTACATAAGTGCACACATTTGCATTCAAATACGTTAAATGTAAATATCGATAAACAAATGATTTTTTTTTTTTTTAATATTAACATACAAATATTTTGGACAATTTAAGCCAACGAGGCTATGTGTTTCAAGCCTTAAATACTTACTGCACTGAACAATGAACACTGTTGCAATATGAACTTCAAATTGAATCTGAAATTTTCGATTTGTCTTTAAATGTTTACGTTTAGTATTCGTTCCGTTGAACATACGAAAACAATTCGCTGAAAAATGTTGTAATCATTTTTTTCGTGAGAAGAGTATTCGATAGAGTATCGGGCATCCTAAAGGAAAAATCAAGAAAGAAAGACCAAATTTCTTAGTAGCCTTTGTTAATAATGGTCGATATTCAATCAATTGTCAATATTTTGATGTTGTATCGGAAGATCTGCTGTAACTAACAACAAATAATTTGGGCATCGGGAACAGTTGTCAAAACTTATTTGCAGATGAGAAGAAGAAACGAGAAGATCCGTTGAATTCGAAAGATTTCATAGAATAGCTTCACGTAGACAACAACTGTGACTGAATTGAGGTCACTATACAGCTAAACTAGGAAATACTTGCAAGGCGGGCTGACTGACTCGTAATGTGTATGTATGGGGATGCAGTTGGGGAAACTACGCTAATGAATCCGAATAATCTAATCAGAAATATAGAATAGAAAAGATAAGTAAATAAAGAAGCAATTTTTTTAACGACCCGTTTATCAGTTTCCCTTTTATTATGTTAAACAGTACAGGCTTTCTTTCGTTTTTGTGTTCTAAAGGATTGTTTCAAACTAAAGTTAAATTACATTCTAGCGCACAACCTCGACATAAATTTTTATTTTAATGTTTACAAATCATCTTTCCTTCAATATGGAGAGAAGCGAAGCCAAAAAGAAAAATGTTGAAAAGAAAACTTTCTATGCCAACATTTTTCTCTTTCTTTTTGACAAGCATACACATACACACATATAAATACTTGCATGAAAAATACCTTTAGAAATTGTAAATAATGACATTTGAAAGCGAATGTTGTCGATGATGGGGCTGACGTCAAACAAGAGGCATATTGCGTGCGTACACATATACACATGCATGTACGACAACATTTCACATTTTAACAAACGCACGTACGCGAGCAATAAAAAGACATTTTTACAAATTCAAATATAACGGGAAAGCATGGATGTACACTATCATCATCATCACTAGGAGTAACTTGTTAGTGACGTGACTGGGTTTGGTTTCATTTAGAATCCTCGGCGCAAATTTCAAGCACAACAAAAGCAAGTTTAAAGAAATAAACATCAGCCATATATACAATACAATAGCATACAATATAATCTGCATTTCTGACTTGAAAAATATTGTAACCGCTGCGCACCTATACACGCAAGCAGAGGACGGAAAAGGTTAAACATTGTTGTACGCTTCTTTTTCGTGTCTCGTTAAGGCATTGTTTTTATTACACGGCTGTGCCATTTGCTATGAGTTGTTCTATTTAGCATGCATGAGTTTGAATTTAATAAACGCGAACGCATAGAAAACTTTTATTATTGTAGCAGTTCTTCCTTCTTTCCCTCTTTTTAGTGAGTTTTTAAAGACATAAACTTTGAATCCAAAATTCATTTTGTACGGGGAGGTGCGCATTATTCCGCAGAACTGTTGTTGGTATAAAAAATAAAACTGTCACGGTTTCATTTTGGTCGTCATGTAAAGGACACAAAATATAAAGAAAAACAAAAAAGAAAAGTCTAGTTGGAGTAAGTAGTATAGCAACAGCAACAGCAACAGCAACATCAACTTAAAAAGCAAACGCAACAGTAGCGATAACATAACACAAACATAAAAACGGTTACACTGATGTTAATGTTGACGTTAGCGATAATGATGTTGATAGCTCTGAAGCTGGTAGCGAAGAACGCTTTTTGAGTTTTTTGATGCGTGCGTGTTGCGCACAATTGTAACGTTTTATTTAATTATTTTTCTACAGAATTTCAATGTAAATATTTGAGAAAGTTATTATTTTTGCTAAAGTTCACAGAGACTGCTGCTGCTGCTGCAGTTCACATATGCCATTGTATGTTTTAGGTGCACATATATACATATATATATGTATATATATATATATATATATACGTAACAAGTGACTTATAATCAAGTTATATATTTTTCTGTGATAATATGTTTTGTGCACAGCAGAGCGTATGTTTTTAATTGTAAGTTCGTTTTTTTTTTTTTTTTCTAATTACAGGCAAGAAGACAGAGGGCTTCCCTTTTAAATACTGTTTTTGTGTATTCAAACAAAAAAACATATTAATTAAGGGTACACAGAAGATACAGATACGGTCTGGATTCAGCGAAACGATAAAAACCAGTTGCAAATTTGTTTGCCGTCATTTTTTTCTCAAGTGAAACTCTCCTCTTTAATACAAACGGCTTTTGATTCAGTCACTGCCGATTCTTCTATCTACCCATTCCATCATTCTATATGCAAATGTTTTCATACAAATATCAAGTTAAAAATCAAATTCTCCTAAAACATTCAAAGACCAGCTTAAACACGCTAATTAAAAAGCTTCATTTAACATTTACATTAAAAAGCTCTCTCTTGTAGAGAATTGCCACGTGAGTGTTCGTGGATTTACTCTGATCGCAGTTGCAGTAAGTGCTTAGCTGGTGAAGGCATAGCACTTATCGTTTGAGCTGCAACCATCTTCGTTTCGCTTTAAATTCTCTGACTTCTTTCCGATCGTCCCCATGTTACAGGTTTAAGGAACATACGCCCAAAAAAAAAAGAAAAAAGAAAAACATTTACTATTATATTCTTCTTCTTCTTCGTTCTTTCTTTTCAATTTAGTTTAAGTAAAATGCTAGAAATAGTTTCAAACAGATTACATGTAAGTAACAAATTTTTCGAGAAAAAACAAATGAGAATTTTGACGCTGACTCTGCTAAAAGTCGTGAAAGAACTAACCGTAAACTAAATACATTAAAAACATGCCGCAATCGAAAAGGGCGGCCTTACTTGACACTCAATATTTCTCGGAATTTATTAGGCAGATTTTGGTTGAAATATATTTCGACTTTACTGTTAATGGATATTCGATTATGTTACGCTTTCCTGCCATGTGGAAGGAAGAAAAGGTATTTCCGTTATGAATGGGAGCCTACTTCATGTGATAGGGCAAAAGAAAGCAAATACATCTAAAAATGTTTCCTTTTGTCATGATTCTCTTCTCTATTTCCTAATATTATCGGTTATCCACTGCATGTAATGAGAAACATTTGTGTAGACACCAGGAAGATTAACTTGCCCGCACGTACTAATGCCAAAACTGACAACGCCAAATTGTATAAATCGTAAATGGCCTAAATGTTTGTCGCGAAATCCCAAAGGACCGCCGGAATCACCGCGACACGAGTCAACCAAATTTTCACCACCGGCACAAATGTGTTCCTCGTTTAAAGGCGGCAAAACTGCAAAATCTTTTTGACAGGTTTGCCGTTCAATGTGACGGACAAGCGCCACCATTAGTACATCGGATGTGTTTCCTAAAAGGTGACGAAGAAAGTTTCAATTATTCTTATTATGACAAAGTATCAAGAGGGCAAAGTTTTACTTACCATTTTCGGTTCTTCCCCAACCCGAAATGACGTAATGACTGTGATGTGCAGATCTTAGCTCATCAGTTATTGGCAAACAGATAGGTTTTAATTGACCTAAAGCGTGTAAATAAGTTTCAATTTGAGTTTCGCAGGAAGATTTATACACATCGATATATTACTAACGCCGAAACTCGACGGTACGATCCAAACGTATTAACGCTATATCGTCGTGAAAGACATGTTTACGGTAATTGTGTGGGATGATAATCTCTTCTATACCCACATCTTCGACCGGTGGCGCACATTCACTCTTGATCGGAGAATTTGTACAGTCTGAGAGGCTGCTTATGTTATACTCTCCCAAACGCACTCCAACTCTAGCCAAGAACTAAACTCCTTTAATGATTAAAATGTAAAAACATTTTCGCACTTACATTGTATCCTCCTGACGGTAAACGCAATGAGCTGCCGTCAATACATAGCCTTTTGAAATATATGTTATGTGTTCATTTACTCTCCTCTATCAATATTTAGAATGAAATGCAACTTACGATTGGTTATAAGCGATCCACCGCATTTAAAGGGTTCGCCGATATTATATTTGAGCAAAGCCATCCAGGGGAATGAAAATAAAGCGGCCACAAAGCCTCGGGAGACTGTGCTAGCATGATTTATCCCGCATCTGGTGTTCGTTAAAATTTCTAGGCCTTCGCTGTTTAACTGAATTTCGGATTTCAGGCAGCAAACGTGATGCTAACAAAAATGTTTAAAAACAAGTAAGAAAATCGTAATTGCTTTGATATATGAGGTGCGACTAATTATATAGCTTTTCGCTCAATGTACTAGAGGCTTAGAAGGTCTTCACGCGCATTTGTTTGAAGTTTTCAATTTTTGAATACAGTTAACGGTTTACCAATGATGGTAAGCGTCCGTCTCTTCTTTCCTCTTTTCACATACAACGTGAAGCGCGTTTCTGGATTTTCTCAATCTGATAAATGTAGTCTCGCCTATCGAAAGGGCCCAACGGCTTTTTTTTAGCAACTCTTTCCTCCTACTTCTTTTGAATTTTACACCAAGAGAAGTGAACAGAGTTTCTATGCGTACTTACGTTTCTATAAAGCGGAGTTTGGCGTGTAGCTGCACTTCTACTCTTATGTAGTAAATATGGTTTCTCTTACACATTAGTTCACAGGTTAACTCACTTACCACGTTACGAAAAGTGCCACAATATGACTTTGTAATCAAGTTTTTATGATCGTCCGTGAGATCACCGCTTGTAGAAGCTGTTTGCTGAAATATCTCGTAAATATTGCGACAGGATTTCACAGGCATACATAGTCCAGGCTCTTCATTAACGGTTGAGCAATGCGAGGCGTACTCTACACAAAGTGACAGTGAGCGGGTTTAATGGATTTTTTAGAATGTTTAAGAAATCAGATTTTATGAATGCACACACAAACATCTTGTAAAACACGTTGTATAGCCTAGAGTAACTAACCGTAGTGTCCATCTCCACCTCTGAGAAATCTATATCGCAAACGTCTTGGGAAATCTTCTAACTTTGTATTACGTTATCGTACATAAAGTTCAGATAAACTTTACAATGGATCTGAGGACCTAACTTGAAAGTGTTTATAGTCTTGTTTCTATTTCTCGGGAGCTTCTCTATTGCGGTTGGTATTTTCTATTTGGTTTTTATACGAAACACTGTAGATAAGTTTATGAAGCGCGCTCCACGACGTTTGCATTTGTGGAAAGTGTTCTTCTTATTATATATTACGCTAGCGGGAAGGTGCATCTTCAAATTGAAATGTTTTATTTAAACTATGGCAAACATTTTAAGATATTTTAACCGATATTCTTTGACCGGTAGCTTAAATCCAATTTTAGAAACAGTTCTAACCCATTTATATAAAAAATTACAAACCGAAAATTTCACTTCACCCAAGGACCGGCTACATAACCAATATTTAACTGATTACAAACAACCAAATATAGGCTTATTATATAGTTGGAATCGGCTGACTAAAACAGGGTTCACGAGCGACTGTGCGAAGTGAAAAATGTTGGTGGTTCGTCTTAAAGCGAATACAGCCTTCATTTCATCGATTAAAATGTACTCACGTGCTTTTACCCGACATTTTTGCTTCAACGAAAGCAAAATATATAAAGCGAACAATAATGCAAAGTTTATGTACATATTTAATTATTCCAAAACCAAAATATCCCCGAGCGTGTAATTTTTCTATAAAACTGAAGCAAGTAAACAACGTGACCGCCACCGCGTTCGTTCTTATTGGTACTAAAACAGCAACAAATTTTGCATTAAATATTATGTGAGAGAATTTTCAATGTTCAGCTGTAAATACAATTTGTATTATCGTCCAACGACTCAGTTAAGATTTACATTTATAATTATTTGAAAGAGTGATTCATCGATAAAAAATTTCAACTCGTTACTATTTTTTCAAAATTTTTTACTAATTAAGTAAAAAACAAAAGACAACATAGCCCGGCGAGGTCGACTTTCAGATACCCTATACCACTTCGCCTAGTACCGTTATTCACTCGCTACACCAAAAATGGCACAAGCAACGGAATACTCTCCATGAAATCCCGCATATTCGATGATATTCAAAAGACCGCATGTCTTAAGGTATTGAAAACTAGATCTTTTTACAAAGTGAAGATTCAGTTCCTTTAGGAACGCTACGGAAAATTGTGAGCTCTAGGTTCACAGCAAGCAAACATAAATAAGCAGAACAGGCGAACAGACATGCTTAGATGTGTGTAATAAAAGCTGGGTCTGTTCTAAGGCCTTCTGAGTGTCATATATGTCCGCAAGAATTTAATGTATCCCGTCCGACATATAAGCAGTGTACGGTATAAACAGGTGTGAATATTTTCGTCATTTAAAGGATGAGGACGCACTTTCCAGACTTTAAATTAGCTTACTTCAATCCTAGAATCAAAACCATGTTCTCCCGGTACTTTAAATATTCTACCGGGAACTTAAAGGTTGACTTAAGCATTACTCTCTCATTGTAACATTTTCTAGTTCTTCGCACTTGTAATTTATAAAGATGTTCCATGTATGATTAAATCTAACACAAGCATTGACTTATTATGTTGTTTGTATTTTTGTTTTTAAAGCCACACCGCTTCTCGTACAGGGCGTAATAAGTTTAAGCCGACGCATCTAACACGTGTTCAATGTCCTTCCATATAAATTTCCGTTCAAGCTACAGGTCGTAATTTTTGAGATATTTTGATGAAATTTGGTGGACTGACTGATGCTTTGACCCAAGGACGAACGTTATTGAAAATGGTTTGGATCGTTATATGGAAAAAAATTGCAGTTTTCAAAATTTCTCCACAAAAGTCCCTCCGTAATGGTATTTGGACATTTTAAATTGGTATGAGAAATTTGATGCGGCTGAGGCAATTTTATTAAGGCCTCTCCCATATAACTGTTGCTACGCAAACCGAATCTTTTTATAGTCAAAGGACATAATTTTTAATATTTGATGGCGAAAATTAGTTCATAACAGTAAATTGAATTTTCCCTTGCATGAAAATTAGGTGCAACTTTTGATGTGTTAGTACCAAAACGAGTGAATAATTGTGTTAGGTGAAAAGGGTCGGGGCATCTAATAGTCGGTCTTGCCCGACTATTTGTTTTTTTTTTTTTTAGTTTTGTTGGTAAAACAAGTGACCAATTCGAGACAATATGATCCCATGTAGAACGTGGTCTGAAAAATATTAAGCCGGCATATCTAAATTTCTGTATTTGTCTGTAACTAATTTATTTAATTTATGCGTAGCGTAATTTCCATGGTGAGGATCAATGCTCTTTAGATTATTGCTTGGAATTTGTAATCAATTACAATAGAGTTAGACATGATTTAATAATTAAATAAATTAATTAATTATAAAATAATTCCATTTATTGACATAAAGGCTATCACATTATTTGTAAACATTGGAAATACCAAACATGAAAATTCATTAGCAATTAAATCAAGAGATAGGTACGTGACTCTAATACACATAAAGCTGAGTATCATTTTTTAAATGCATGGATATACAAATAAATAAAATACCTTACGAAAATAAAATCATATTAGCGAATATTTGGAATAAGGCATATTTCGTCGTGCCAAAAGCCAGAAGTAGACTTCACGCGCCCTTTAAAGTATCTACATGCTTTTGGTCAGGACGAGAACGTGAGTCGATGTAGACACGTCTGTTTGCCCGCCTTTGTAATTCCCGTGTGGTGCCCATTGCTTATAGATCGTCGCGGGTCCAATGATAGAAATTTTCGTGTGTATTCTATAGGTGTTTTTCACGGTAGTGGAGAGATTAGGTCAGGTCACTCCCATTCAGCAATATACCTAACATCTCGTCCTTTATTTTCTTTTTTCTTAAAGCTGGGCACAAAAGGTTCGACCCAAGCCGAACATAACTTTATACTTGTTTTTCTTTCATGCCTCCACTTTCGCCCTTTGCATCCTCAGCTGTGCTGTGCGGTTCGTCTCAAAGTTGGGATGCTTTAATAAGCTCAACTAATCAAATTCGTAGTTCGACTCTTTAGTTGCCATTTGATTGTGTTTGCTTAAGGTTTTTATGCAAAAGCTTTTCAGCGTTTGACTGGAATATCATCGAACGTAATGATGAATGCGATTTAAAAAGCTTCTCTTGAAAGCGTGCTCTTAGATAAAATTGATTGAAAAGATTACATTCAAACGCTATTACCCATTTATCATTGTTATTCACGTATTTTGCTATTCCCTGACATAAAATCTTACGGAAGGAATATTTCAGGTATATGTTTTGTGTACATGTTCACAAAGTAATAAAATATACATGAGTAAACTTTGATTGCAAATGCTTCACAAGCATATCTATTTGCAAGTTTTATATATATAAAGGTTATTTCTATTGTTGGCAGAAACTTTGGCTTGTATAGCATCAGTGTACTGGCGTTTATTTTTTTATTATTATTTCCACGGGAGTGTATTGAATTTACCGAACGTTTTGAAGGGAAAAAAATATGTCGCAATAATATACATCGTCTTAGTTAGCCGAATAGAGGGATGGATTTGAAGATGTCTGGACTGTCTTTTTGCCATTCACGTCTGTTGATTTAAAATGAAAACTCCTTGTAGAAGAAAAAATATGTTGTTGAAAATGCGAGTTATGTAAATAAGGCATTTCCTTGTTCAATTGCGTAGGGTACCTTGTCCAAATACGCTTCTGCACTACTAAATTGGAAGATATGTGCGATACGATGTATGATAGATGTTTCGAATGAATAATACAATAAACATTTGCCCCATCTTGCTCTAGTTGTCGGTATAAAAGGCTTTCGCCTCGCCCAACCGAAATAAAATTCACTTTTTGCTCATTTAATGTTTTTTCATTTGACCTTTTGGACAAGTTAAGCTCTCTCGGGCAATCGACATATCCGTTATATGTTTTCAATATGGCGATGTTTTGGAAAACATTTGCACACAGATGATGTGCTAACTTTTTTGTTAAAAACGAAATTTAATGTTTTTTCCATACGACAAAACCTTAATCAATTTTGATTCCTTGTTCACTTCGTCAAAACTAGATTGTGTGGATATGTTGTCGAAATATCCTCTCATAACATTAAGTTAATGAAAACTAAGTTAATAAATTTGACTATTGTTTGCAGTGCAAATATTTTACTGCTCTCTCAACAATGGCCCTCAGAGGTGCATGAAAAGTTAACCATACAAAAACATTATATGTGCAATGTAAGCACTCGGCCGTATACCTTCGTAATAGGATGTATACGTAAGCAAATTGGACTATCTCCTCGAGGAATCCTGTTGTAAAATATTTAACGAAAATGTTGAAGTAGGCAAAAATTAAACAATTTTTTTATTAACGCATTTACTTATCAGTTAAATCTGCGTAGACTTCTACTTTTGGATATGCTGTCAATGAAAGGTTAATTTCATGAAATGAACACTGCTCCGCTCCGCTCGCACCGAAAAGTAAGAACACCGTAACATCATAAGATTGAGTTCGCACAATAAATACTTATTTCTGTCCGTCACGCACAACGCCAAGTCTATGCAGATTCCGTTACTTAAAATTATGACCTTACGTTAAGCTTATAGTAAGATATTGCGTGAGAGCAATAAGCAAATTCAATTTCTTCTCGGTTTTTAATATTTTCGGTTCTTTTTATGCAACTACTTAATGAATTAATAAAATGAAAATGAAAGAAGAAAATATTTGAAATAAACTGAAAGGGGTCTCCAAGAAAGTTCATACGATTACTTTGAATAATAAGATGGACGAAATTGTTGTAGTGCTTTGTGTGTCATACCACGAGGCATTTAAAGGATTTTTGACTTGGATTTGCACTGGGTATTTTTTTGCGAAAGAGGACTTTGTTTTTTCTTTTTTTAAAACGATGAGTGATTCTTCTTTTCGCTTGTTATTGTCTTTTGAACATTCATGCTTAGATAGAAATATTAACTGGAGAAATCTCAAGTTAATAAAATGAATGAAATCGCATACACTGGTCAGCTTCAGATATCGTGAGAATTTTGTAATGTTGACAAGCCAGCTAACCCACAGCCCGTAGTTAAGATATTTTTATCTTCATATCATTTTTTCCTCTTTGTCTTCGCACTAAACGACTTAAACTACTGCAAGGTATGCATCTTTGCTTGGCCGCAGTTTTTCATATGTCTTGAGCCATACTTACTTGTGCACATGTGCGCATACAGCGCGTAAAATCTAGAACCAGCAAGCAAGGATTATGTACAATATGCATCAACCCATTTTTTTAGTCTAAAAAAACCGAAAACAACCGAAAGCTTGCAGCTCTTCAGCAATCTGTGCACAGCGCGTAGTTGTGTTACATTAAACTACGAAAGTTGACAGTTTACCAGCACAACTAATGTGTGATAATGTTTTGAGAAGAAAAATTCAGACAAAAAGAAGAAGAAATATGAGCATAAAAAATAGTAAACACACGTGTTAAAACTACAAATTATTCAGTTAAACAGAAACGAATGAGGAGAAGGGTGGGCAAAGTGGGGGTAGAAGTGCCAAAAGGGAACAGATTGTGCACTATAAAAGTCATAAGAGGAACGAAATAAATGGCACAATAACCGAATAAACATTTTGGAAAGCAAATAAATGTATACATATGTAGGTTGCGTGGGTGTGTGCCCGAGTTTAGTAAACAACCGTAATAAAAAACTCAACTACCATAAAAGATATGCATAACACTTACATACAATCCATCACAGCGACATCTTGTCTAGACGCTTGGCGCCAATACATGAAATAAGTGATGTACGTATATACGAAATCATTTATATACGCGATTGTGTTTCGTAATCTTTAAATGGACAAATGGCTGCTAACAATCTCCAGAGTTAGTATCGGCAGAGCTTTTGCGACTGAGTTAAAGACGGCTAAAAAACAATTTTGGAACGAATATATTATACACCGCCACCTCGCCAATCAATGAATGATATGCGGATGTAATAATTCGTATAGATTTAGTATTATTTTGTCCAAATACATTTATTTGACTGTAATGACAGATGAGCAATTATGTATTCTGGAAGGGGCTACCTCCGAAATTTTTATTGTGCAAGAAACGATAAACGATGGTATAAACCATCGCACCGTGAATCGTACTTTAACTCTATCCGGGAAACTAAAGATAATATGGGGAATATAAAGTTTTAAATAAGGAAATTAGCGAACTAGAAATCTATTGCTTATCGGAAATTATCAAAGATTGATTGAGTAATCTCGAGTAACGTATCTGCTAACGATAAATCTTGCAATGTTTTCATATTTACTTGAGGTCATGCCAGTAGAAGATTCGTCCTCCCTTCGAGAAGAAAAACTTTTGCTAAGCATTCTTTTGTCACGTCTTTAACTTTTTCTTACAAAATGTCATCCAATCGATAAACTTGTGCTTAGCTCAGCAATTTTTCTACATATGCTGAGTATACATCGCTTGCATTGCTTGCATTGCTTGCATTCCGCTATATGCGCAGTTTTTTTTCCTTTTTTCGAGAAAAACTGAAAGTTTGTGAAGGCACTAAGATATTGCTATTAGTTTAGAAGCGCGAATCAGTTAAAGTTATAGTAATTTAAAGTGTTCGTGAGTCGTAACAGTTTCGTTCGCACACTCAATAACGCATTTTATATATAATGTCTTTAAGAGCTCGGTATATGCAACTTTCAGCTGCAACTATTATGAAACACCGGATGAAGAAATTAAAAATTAGGTGTGGGATAATGTGAATTGGCATTTGGGCATAATGGTCCATTCCCTTCAGCCTTTTAAGTTTGAGTTCATTACGATTCCGTCCTCGAATAGTTTTAATCTTTTTCTGTAGATGAAAAGCATGGCATTCCTCCACTGCTTTCGATGAAACGTGTCGTTATTTTTGTTTGTAATTTTTTGCTGTAATTTTCCATTTTTTATGTAAATACTCTTTTTAAATATTTACGAGAATAAATCCGGAGCACTTATTAAGACATTATTAGGGGAATGAGCAGAGAGGCAGTAGTATGAATCAATGAATGAATGCGAGAGTTCGAAGGTATAACCAACCATAACAGACACACACGAAGCAAAGGCTTGAATGTAAGTGAGTAACATTTTCAACCAAATGTCGGGCAAAATATAGTAAACTCTAGAAACCAATAAACAAAATTTGTTACGCGCATACCAATTGACGTAAAAGTTAAGCGAACGGCTTTTATTATTTTTGTTTTTATATTTATTTTTTTGCCTTTAAGAAGAAGATAATAAAAAGTTTCGCTACATTATGATTAGCGTGTTTGCCAAGCATGCCCTACAAAGCGTATACATAATGCCGGCAATGGTAGAAAGGAAAGTGTATCATAGCGCGGCTAAGTAGCATACGATACCAAGTAAGAGCAGCGGTAAAAACGGAAATTTTGTAATAAATTTTGTTTTTTTTCTTTTTTTCTTATTTTTCAGAAAGTTCTTAAGAAGTGAATGAGTGTATGGGAATCGAAATGAAAGTTTTGCTTCGTGTGTTTTTAGTTTTTCGGTTTGTTTTTTTTTTTTTTTTATTTCATTTCTTTTTTTTTATTTTGTGAAAAATCGAACTTGTAGACAAAACTACGTGCACAGATATATCATTTGGCAAAAGTTGAAAAAGGAAAATAAATGAGAAGTAAAAAAGAAGGTCACGCTAGAATCATGTTATGTTGAAGTTACTAGTATTTTGTGAGACAGCGTGGAAACAGCATTAGTATCAGGAAATACCAGTATAATCTACAAAGTGTCAGAAAACTCTTTCAACCACGTTCGGGCTAAAATTGAAAAAGAAAGGGGAAAAAAATGGAAAAATCTAGAACCAACTTTGTGCCAGTTTTGTAGTTGTTAAGTTTTATAATTTCTACTTAAACTAATGAATTGTTAATGAAAATAAACTGTTTAAAGAAAGTGTTGTTTTGATGTTTAAAAAAAAATTAAATTTGTTATGTGCGCGATACCCTAAAGCAAACGTCGGACTTTTTTAAACAGCAATAGGGATTATTTTTTCTTTTGCGTAAAAACGGTAGCAAGGCGCATTAGAAACCAATCTAAATATTTCTTAAATATCGTTTCATTTCGTTTATAAGTTAACATAAATTAACTCGGAAAGATTTCTTTTAAAGGACAGTTTCTTTGAAAAACTATCCGCTTAATTAATAGGATATCCGCCTGAGTAGCCGAAGGCGACGAATCTCGACTAGCATGTCAGTGGTCGTGGGTTCGAATCTCATGTGCGGTGCCGATAGCCTTAGATGCTAGTGCTTTTAAGAGTTTAGTCGTAGAATTTGTTTCTCTGGCGAAATTAATAATAATAATAATAATAATAATTAATAGGATACGTCACCAATCTTTTTAATCCTTAGCCTGCCAATGTTTAAATATAAAGAACCTGTTTTAAGAGTACCAAAGCGTATGACCCACCTCCCATCTCCCTCCCTCTCTCTCACTCTAGCTTGAGTTCCCAACGTCCGCAATAAAATCAGCCGTTGCTTTTGCTTATCGAAACTAAGCAGTCACAAGAAGTTTTGTGATTCTATACCAAAAAAATTAATATAATCAATATACAGGCTTTCTATACTATTTGCTACATTGACGGACAGAGTATTTCAAATATTGAAGTTTTTGCCGATTCTCGTATTTTGAATGTGCTCAACTACCTTTTTCTAGGTGCAAAAATAAAGGGGAAATTAAATCCAGATCCATATTAATCTTAACACTGTCGGTGCGAAAACGTAACTAACGACTCGTGCTATTTTATTTTATATTGCAGCCCTTATAATGGTCTTATGACCTGATTCCATTGAGCTGGCTTGCAATTATTGCAATGGTTGGGTTATCTTCTCATCGCCTTATCACTTTTCAAATTTACGGGCTTTACTTATGTTCCTCTTCTACTTAGTTTTTAGCGCTCTTTAACCGATACAGTGAGCGAAGTAATGTCAATTTAAAGTCAAAAGTGAAAATATTTCTAATTTGGATTTGGAATGAGTGCAACGTTCATCGTTCCGCTTAACTTGGGAATAGATAAAATAGTTTGCTTTAAAGCTTCAAATTTATTTCAGTCCGCCTCGTGGGGAACTTTTATAAGCGGTTGCTTTATTTGACGCTCGTTATGCTCACCTTTAATAGTTTAGACATTGAGGTATTGCTTGACTTTAAATCATAAATTTGTGCATTATTTCTCGCAGCTATCATAAACAGTTAGTGACTCTACGTTTATTTTGCTTCTTTATTCTTTTCAGAACTTTTCACATAATATCTTCTTGATAAAGGTTTAATTGCAAAACTTTCCTGACAGAGTGTACAACGTTTTGCATAGCGCTTTAAACCAACCACTCCTGCGATTACTTCTCCATCTACATCTCCTCGATTGCGAACGCAACATTCTCAAACAGCAAACATCATTTTAAGCAACCTTCAATTGTAGACAACTAAAAGAAGTAGACGAATAACCGCAGCAAGAACCGTTAAGCAAAATGGCTGCATTTATAGCGAAACAAATGGTTGGCAATCAGCTAAGCGCCGTTAAAGGTAAGTTGCTCACTATTAATCTCTCATTGAGAAAAAGTTTCAAGTTAGAACTCGTACAATGTAAAAACCCTTTTAATGGAATTTGTTATAAAAGCTAAAAGCAAAACAGTTTATGATTTGATTTTCGAAATTAATAGTTTAAACTTTTTACCACCGAAAATCAATACGGCTAAGAAATGATTCGCAGAAGAAAGATTTGCACTCCACCGCATAAACGCAACACGCGTTTGCGATCTCACGATAGCTACTTTTGTAAGCATAAGCCAGCAAAAGTTTTAATTATCTCTTAATCACATTCGCTGTGCTTTTGTGTGTTTTTACTTACACTTCCACGTAGGTACACTCCTGCGCGCACTCTTTAGTATATGTACGCGTTTTGATTTTGCCAAAATAATAACTGAAATCTATTTGCCCCCTTGCTTTCCTTGCTTGCGGCCTATCTTCTCTTCCCTGTCTTACCCAAAGCCCCCATGATGTTGACGTCCCCTCTCCTTATTTACCTTGTGGCTGCTATTACAATTAGAGTGTGATATGTGGTGGCTGCCGGTTTTTGTGTGCGTGCTTGTGTTTTCCAATAGAGTAAGAAGAGAAAAACTCTCCAGTAATTTAATCAATGAGTTTTTAACTCAGTTACTGTTTATAACTTTCAGCTTCATATAGCTCTCATTACACTTGAAAGTATCGCATAATAAAACTTTTCACTATTCCAATTAAAATTATATTCATTTTGTAACAAAACAATTAGATCACTACTTTTGTATTATAAATTTTTTTTTTTTTTTTTTTTTTTTTTTTTTTTTCGGAATCTGGGCCATTGTACCGTTAAATGTTCGTTGATATGTTTGCTTAGGTTGATCAGTGGAGTTAGCTGGACCTACTTGATTGACAGCATAGGTATAATATTGTTATGTGCAATCCCGTGGATTACTTGTTATTCCTAAAAATGAGCTTAGAAGTTCTTGTGCGCATGTTGATGTGAAGAATACACTAAAACAGCCAACAAACATGCCTACAGCATAATATAAACTCAGAGATGAAAAGAATGTTCGAAGACGTCGTCTTAAATGGTGTAGGAAGCTGGCCATAGGTAGAGCGTCTCGTATATATTCTTTCCTTTTTTATTATTTTATAACAATTTGCTTCATTTAGAAAAAGCAAATGTGATCTCAATTTGGCTACAACCGCAAAAATGAAGATACGAAGCTGAAGTTTGGCACTTCAATTATAAAGACGGAGTCAAAAGAGAAAATTTAATCTATTGACAAACGATTAAAAGAAATAAGAGCTCGATCGAATCAAGCTCGAAAAAAATGGCAATTACTTCTTATATTCCTTTCAATTAGACAGGCTAAGTTTGTGAGTTTGTTAGTCCAATTGTCTTGCTTTTGTCCCTTCCATTCGGACACACTCCTAGTCTTTTAAATGTCCATAGGAAACACAAGATCAAAAATTGATGGAAAAAACTTTTGCTTTTCTCTGCTTTTTCTCTCAGGCAGCACTGGATTTCTGTTCGGCTGGCTGTTGTGAAACGCAATAACGGTTGAAGCCATCGGCTAGTTGTCATTTAACCGCTAGTTTTACGAACGCGACTATGCAAATTTTGTGGACTGGAAAACAGCGACATCAGACGATAAGGGACGTAAACGCCGACGGAATTTTTAGGAAATTAATAAGTGGGTAATGAATACATACAGAAATGCATATGGAGAGGAGCTGCGCTTAAAGCACTTATTCCCGAATCGAAGAATATATATATATACAGAAAGATTCTGATGTGTGTTCCTAAACGAAAGACCTATACTTTGGCTGTCATAGAAGCCAAAGTCGAAAGTAAATTGATTTTAAGAGGTAAAACGATTTTCTGAACTTCCCCCCGTATACACGGGGCACGTATTTTCGAGTTCGATAGATCAGTAAATAAGAGAAGCGACTTTCAATCCCATACACCCAAGATAACAGAAAAATAGATGCGACCTTTACAATTTTAAATATGATAAAATACAATTAAAACCAATCACTAAGAAAAAATTTGATTTTGTTTACCGATCAAAGAAAAAAGAAGAAGAACGTTGTTTGGTATACGAACGATGTTTTTGAAATATGAAGCAGATTTGATATATTTTGCGAACGGCCTTCTGTACTCGATTTTGCAATCAAATATCGTAGTGATGGGTATTAAGAGATTCGACCTACACGCAATACGACTAACTCCGCTGTGTGTTTATTTTGATTTTGCTCTTATTTGATGCAAATTATTACACATGATCAAATTCCGTTTTGTTTTTAATTAAATGCAAGCTTACCATAATTAACACAAAAGCAAAAAGCAAATTAAAAATATGTTAGCGTTGAATAGACACGTACGCATACTAGCACATACATACGCATGCTTGCGAGTTCATTCAAACAATGGAAAGTAACTACGGAAAATATTTCAATCACAGAACCACTTGAAAGTTGTTTGCATTTGATGCTAAGGTAACGAATACACATACATCAGCGCAAACACTCACAGACACTCGCTCGCAAGCTCATACAAACAAAATATATTCAAGAGGATGTTGTTTCAAATAGTTTTATATCTAAAGCAAGCACACTTTGGCTTCAGTATACATATTCGAATTCATGTAGATGTGCGCTTCTAACTAAGGGGTCTGTATGCTAAGTGATAAGACACACAGCTCGCTCAGCACCAGTTAAAACAAAGCATAATGACTTTGAAATTTTTCAAGTGCAAGTTTTTGCTTTTTTTTTTTTTGTTGTTTTATTTTGTTTTATTACTTTTTTTTTTTTTTAAAGCATTTTTTTGTTTCGCAAAAGAATAACTGAGCACTTATACGGCGAACATAGTCTTTGTTTGGAATTTAAATTAGCCTTAAAAGTTGTTTACATATTTATAAAGACGCACGTACAGTAACATATACAACATATGTAAGCATGTGACTGCAGTAATGTCAAGTGTTGACCCCAATTGAATGAAGTGCTTCGATGGCCTTGTGATATAGCATTTAAAGCAATTGATTGCGTTTACGTGTCATCAGAAATGCTTTCATTTCCTATATTCTCTAATTCTGACATAAACACACTATTTTACACAATGTCAAGGGTTTCCTTCTCTCTGTTAGCTGATGGAAAAAGCAGAAAACGAAGAACGAAAATCCCATCACCGTCAGAAACGAAAACAGAGAAGAACAAACAGTTTTTTACTTTTATTTTTATCTCTCTTGAGTACTTACACTTTTCTAATCGTTAATTAATAAAAAGCTTAAGTTCTATTGTATAACATTAGCTTGTCACTACGTCACTTGCACTTTAAAAGTTCCGAATACACTGTTCTGCTGTGCTGTCGTTTTAATCAAGTGGCATCGACTTGTTATTAGATACAAATCTATTACGGCTGCCAATTACATCCAAAGTAATCGAAGACTGAAGTATCTAATGTTCACATGCGTTCAAGTGTACGGGGTCAACTTCGCGAGCGGAAATATTTCACCATATGTTTTCTATCGTATTCAATTAATTGTTTACAGTACTATCCATATGAACTTTTAGCTCTCTCTCTTTACCAGTTCTCTTATACCAGGCAAAAGCAGATCTTTAATAGTATTTCGCTCTTAAAATAAAAGCAAAATAGTTGGTGTCGTGAAAGTGTGAAGATATTAAAACATAGATTAGGATTTTATAACTATTAGAACTTGTTAAGCCATTTAAAAGCTGGTTTCTTTGCTGATCACTTTCACAGACTTTCGATCGATACTTTTTTAATTGTAATATCCAAACCGAGCATTACCGCAGCGCATGTAAAGCATACTTATGTAAAGGATCGCCATTTCATTAGAGATTAATTAGATCATGTCCGTCCTTCAGTCCATCCGACCAAACACCTGTCGTTTATTGCGAGAACTTTTTCGCCGGCGAACATTACTATAGGAAATTGGAACATTCCCTGAATGTTCTTGTTTTTTTTTTTTTGGATTTAAATGAAATCCGAGTACGCTAATGCCTTCTTCCGCCCTATGAAAACACGTTGCTTTTTCACCTGAGAAGCGTAGATTTGTTCTTGGTGTTTCCTTTTTAATCAAGTTAATTACTGGTACTATCAATTCGTCCACATTACTTGCGAGATAAGCTTTAATGTCCTTAAACGCTTCTCTAGGCACTTTATTTTATTTATTTTCATTAAGCTGACTCAATGTAAGTATAATTATGGGCTCTTTAACCCCTTCAGAGTTGTTTGCAGAAACCTAAATGATGTCTATCACTTAATCCCAACATCGGATTCTGTCAAGTCTATCAAAACGGCTTTGCTTATTTGCGTATTTAAACTAACGTGCCATCTTAATATCTCGTTATGATTCGAAAATTAAGAGGAGTTGCTTAGGATTTTTTGGTTAGCAAGCTTTCGCATTTTTCCAATGGTCTAGGCAATCGCTTGCAACTTGGTTCTGGGCGTACCCCTGTAATAGCTGTGTACTTGCTCTCCTTCTTTTTTTTCTTTAAATCTGTTTATATACTTTGTACTAGTTTTTAATGATAATTAGCATAAGATTTACTTCTCAGATATTAACTGAATTCGGTTGTTCAATTATTTTAGTTGGATTTCTGTTAAGTGAAATTAAAATTATGATCCTAGCAGTTATATCTGGTATATTCGTTTTGTGTAGAAACTTTCGAAGCAATACTCAAGAGCGATATGTAAATAAATTTTACAAATTGTTCAACCAAACGATTTGCAAAGAAATTCATTTCGTTTGTTTTTCCAACTGACCTACGGTGAAATTACTCTGCCAAAAAGAATGAGAATTCGAATAAGCTCAATAAAAGATAAAATTGAATAAATTTCTCTCCATCGACCAATAACCGTAGTTGCAGGAGAAAAGGAAAAAGTACGAGCACAGAAATAAGTGATACAAAGAAGGATGAAAGCATTGCAGATACAACATGATTTAAAGCTCTGCCGCTTGAAAACATGCTGTGGAATTTTAAATGCATCAAATACA